CATTCTTGGAAACATTTTTGCAGTTCTTCCACTACCAAGGGGCCCACTATCGCCTAGTTTTTCTAAAAGAAAAGATCTAGGAGGCCTTCTTCTCCAGGTGCTTTCAAAGGGGCCATTAGCTTCAGAGCATACCATACTTCTTCCTCAACTAAAAGTTTGAGAAGTTATTTGTTCATCTCCTCAGTTATTTTCGTTGCTATAGCATCTAGGACAAAATGAGTGGTGGGTTCCGGCCCTGCCAAGAAAAGGTTTTGTAGATAAATGGTCACACAAAGCGAGGCAGCTTGCTGACCCTTATACAGCTTCCCTTCCTCATCTTTCAATTCCACAATAGTGTTTCTTCTTTGCCTTGTTGTAGGTTTTTGGTGAAAGAACTCGGAGTTTGCATCTCCTTCCTTTAACTAGTCATTCCTTGAACGTTGTTTCCAAAGCATTTCTTCTTGATGTAGTAAATCATTTAGCTCTCATTCTAGGGCTTTCCTTTGTAATATCACTGCTTTATTCTTTTTTTGTTTGGCAATCCTCTCTACAATTTTCTGTGTTCCTTTTCATCCTCCTTATATCTTCAAACATGGTTTGACTCCACTTTGTAAGTTGTTGTTCACATCCTTTCATTCGTGCCTTAATTCCCAAACTAGGGTCTTTGTTCCAATCCTAAGCAATTAGAGGTGAACATTCCTCGTGTTTTTGCCAGAAAGACTCAAAACGAAAGTGTCTCCACCATTTAATTCGATCATCTTCAAGATGTAGCTGCAGTCTAATTGGGAGATGATCTGATACCCACCTGGGCAGGTGGTACACATGAGCCTCTTTATACCTACTTCTCCGGTCATAGTTTGCTACCATTCGATCAAGCCTTTCTTCCAAAAAATCATCTTCCTCTCGGTCATTGTCCCACGTAAATATATTTCCCATTGTACCCCAAATCTTCCAATCCACAGTCATCCAAAGCCTCCCTAAAACCTTCCATGCTATGTTCATCAGGTAATCTGATGCCATTCTTTTCTTCGTAACCCAAAACTTTGTTGAAATCGCCAATCATAAGCCATGGCAGATCACTGTGTCTCTTTAGTCTTCTCGTCAACTCCCAGGTCATTTGGTTTTTTCCTTGCTCTGGTCATCCATACAGCCCGGCTAATCTCCATGCTTTATATGGATTTTTTCTTGTATTGCTACATAATTGTAATTCTCGTCAAAATCCTTCAAAGTTACCTTCACATGCTCCTTCCAATCCAACCCCTTTTCCCTTTTCCCGTCCCATTTTTTCCATTACTTCCTCCCATTCATTTTCCTTCTTTTTTGTCTCCATCAAGAAGACAATGTCGGGGTCATGTTCTCTGAGTAGCTCAACTACCCTCTTCACTGTCGTAGTTTTTTCCAACCCACGACATTTGTAACTTATGATACTCATTGGGCTAGGCGGCCTTGTGAGTTCGCAAGGTTTGCTTCTCCGCCATCCAAAATTGTTGTAGATTTCATTGACTCTTCAGTTTGAGGGGTTTTATCTACCTCCCCCCCCCCTTTTGAACTCCAATCTCCCCCTTACGGATATTCACAAGGATCTTAGCTCGTTTTCCCCCCTCCTCTTCGCTTTGATGAAGTAGTGCACCCTCTATACCTTTCCTCTCAGTTTCATCCCTTTGTAGATTTATTTTCTGTGGTGTTTGTTATAGAGCTGGCTTGCCAGTTTAGGATCTATTTTTGGAGGTTTGCTTGTGCCAACGCTTAGGCCGTTGTTGAAATTCTTTGTGGCCTCCTGCCCCAAGCTAAAGCTCAATATGTTACTTCTAGCTAGCACAACCTTCTCCCTTTTATTCTGTCTCACCTCAACATCCTCCACCTTATCCCTTATGCTAGCAACAACATCATGTTGGTCAACTACCTGTGTATCATTATGTTTTCTGGCTTCTCTTTGATTCCATGCCTTTTCTGCTGAACCCTTATAATACTCATAATGGTATTTTTCACTTTCCGATACCCTAAAGATATGTCTCTGTTATTCAAAAACTGGTTGATATTTGTTCTGATAGAGCTCAGGATAACAACTGTCTGTTTCCTTCAAATGTGTTGCTGGGTGTCGAAGGGCTTCCAATCTCATCTTTTCAGTCATTGTCTCCCTATCAAACTTTGCCCTTAGACTCATCAGGTTCTTCCTTCTCTTGCCTTGATTGCCATGTTATGCTTTGGGGTGTACCCAGCCATAATTCATGACCAAACTTGTCCTTCTCCACCTCTAATTTTGTTGGATAGAAAGCTTTTGGATGTCCTACTAGGTCGCAGGAAAAACAAAACATTGGAAATTTTTTGTAGTTTACTGGGAACTTCTTAATTTCTCCTTGTACCTTCAATTTTAACTCCTGCCTCAGTGGTGTTCTAATATCTTTCCCAATTTGTAGTCGCAGGTAATCCTCTCTGGTGTTGTCCACCCCCGAGTCCACCCATATCAGACTACCAAACTTCTCCGCGATCTTATGTGCCATCTTAGTCGTCTTTAGTGCATCAGATAATCCAAATATTTGTACCCATATCTTCATGACATAGAACTCTTCCTTCGCCAGCTTATGAAAAGCATCTGCTGTTTTGAAGATCAATAGGTTATTATCATAGTGCCATGGACCTCCACGAAAATTTTTGTCTCTATCTTGTCTGTCAAGGAACTGGAAACCATACAGCTATTTTCCCTTCTCAAAAATCTGGAAGGTTTGCCTCAGATTCCATACTTTTGTCAAAGCTACCTACATAGATTTATTTTTTTCTTTTTTTCCACTAATAATCTTCCCACTAATCCCAACAGGTTGACTGCCTTGACCATCACTGCATGGTAGTCTTGCTCTTCCACTTTAGCGCATCATCCACATCAAAATCACCCAAAGTCACAATTCCAAACATCTTAATTCATACCACAACCCATCACCTAAAGTATCAAATATGTTTAATGCCGCATGTTAGAAGAGAACAAGCACCACATATCCCAATGAATGAGAAAAAATTAGTGTGGACACTTGCAGCAAGTTAGGGTGGCATAGAGCCCATACCACAATCCATCAAGACCGGACTGTATCCAATACAACCTTTGATCCTCATATTCTCGAAAAGATCGGACTGGGACCGAATCAATTCGGCCCAGTTTAATCGGACCGGACCGGATCGTATAGTCACCCCTAGCAGCAACAGCAAGGACTGATTATGTGGTGCATAGAGCCCATTGCATCACGCCATGACTGTCAGAAAGTGAACTGGGCAATAACTATGGGAAAACCTTTTTTATCATCTATACGTGTATGCTTCGTTGTACAATCGTGCATAATTTATCGCACTCTTCTTTCAATAAATTTTAATGAGGTATATCCCTTTCGTTTTAAGTAAAAAAATAATACAAATAATTAGATTACTTGTGCTCTTCAAAATGACATCAACATGATATACTTTTTGAAAAAAAATTGAAATTTTTATTATCCTTCCATACCATGTGGTACTACTTAGTATTTAAATAAGATTATACCACGTGGTATGTAAGTGTATCATTGTGATATGAACACACCAAAACATGTATACATAATAGTATAAATATATTAATCGTCATTTAACAACAGATACCACTAATTACTACCCTGTACTAGGGTGACATAGGGTGATACTTTTTACCTTGGAAATATTTTTCCAAGAGATCTGGCCCTACTTTAAATCAAGAGTTTAGATATAATTGTACAAGTGTGCATAACTAATGGTTATACCCCATTGTATTATTCTAAACCGTTTCTGCGATTGGGCTGGATAAATAACAATGGGAAAACACTTTCGATAAAAAAAAAAAACTGACCAGTTGGTAGTAATCTGTAACATCCCGAACTTTTTCTCGACGAAGATATTGTCTGTTTTGGGCCTTGACCCTCAAGGTTTTCGACTTCGGGTGCAATTCAAGGTGACTTCCCATAAGGTCACCCATCCTTATTGTGCTCCGCACTGAGCACGTTTATCTTAACTTCTCCATTACACTCCAAAACGTGTCTTGTCAGTTAATGTCGGTTTCTTACTTATGAACCATGGATCTCTCCCGTGATTTGTCGATATGAGGATTCGCCTAAAGCCCTAAGGTGTTACATACACCCCCCCTGGGACTCAAGGCCCTCGTTGAGGTTTGCCCACCATCGTTCAAGAGGGACGCGGAGAGGCTCTGATACCACTTGTAACATCCCGAACCTTTATCCGACGAAGATATTGTCCGCTTTGGGCCTCAACCCTCACGATTTTCGACTTGGGGTGCAATTCAAGGTGACTTCCCATAAGGTCACTCATCTTTGTTGTGCTCCGCACTGAGCACGTTTAACTTCGGAGTTCTCACAAGAACTCCTCCATTACACTCCAAAACGCGTCTTGTCAGTTAAGGTCGGTTTCTTATTTATGAACCATGGATCTCTCCCGTGTTTTGTCGATGTAGGATTCGCCTAAGGTGCTACATAATCACTTTTGATGCTTATCTAGCAAGGAGTAGAAAAAGTTGTTAACGATTTCGTGCGTATCAAATTATATAGAGAAAACGAATCAACTACAACACATCAGATAGCTAGTAATCAATCAATAACACATTAATCTGTCGCAAGACTTGAAAAATAATGGTACAACTATGACAACTATGTATACATCCCATGTCGACCACCGGTCGGTATTTTGCAGTTTATTTATGAATTTCACATATATAGTACAGAGTTGAAAATAATGAATAAATGAGAAATGGATAAACTCTCCACATCTTCGTTGATTCACGAGCTAGACATGAATATGACAAAGAAAGGAGAGACCTATTCCGATACATACGTTTTCCTTCTTTCAAGCTGCGTATAGGTATAGCAGTAGGCTTTTCTTCTTCTTCGTCATTTTGGTTTGGCTATAAATAGCGAACCCCACGGCACTCTTCATTCATTCATTCCCCATTTATAACTAACAAACTAATAGACAGAGCAAGAAAGAAAGAAAGAAACGTGAGAGAGGGAGATCCAAGAATGGCGGGAATCATCCACAAGATCGAGGAGACGCTCCACATAGGCGGTGGCGAAGATCACAAAAAGGACGACCACAAAGATCACAAAAATGACGACCACAACAAGGACAAGGACAAGGACAAGGACAAGGACAAGGACAAGGAAGGCATCGTCGACAAGATGAAGGACAAGCTCCAAGGTGACCACCACGGTAGCGGCGGCCACGACGGCGAGAAGAAGAAAAAGAAGAAGGAAAAGAAGAAGCACGATGACGGTCACGAGAGCGGCAGCAGCAGCGATAGCGACTGACTCATCATCATTCCTCCTAATTCATTCAGGTGACTACCAGCGATCCAGCCTTTTATTTAAATCCCTTTAAGAAATTCCAATCTTTGGAGACGATAAATTCAAGAGAGCGGTTGATTCGATCATCACTTTTTTTATGAGTTAGGCGTCCTCCTCGAAATCTATTATTATAAAAAAAACATTGTGCCTTTTGGGGCACCCGCTCCCCTGACAATTTGGAAGATCGAATGAAAATGTATCCTTACTTTAGAACATTACGTATAAATTACATAACAAATATAAGAGTGAAGCGTGCAATAATACTTTAAAAGTAAGATTCTAGTTCAGCGGAATTAGGAATAATTTGAGCTGCAAACATATTTGGTGCCGGGTTCGATTCTCAAGAGCAGCATTTTGCCCCTCCGTGATTTTCTTGCTTCAATTTTCTTTTTTATTTAATTTTTGTTTTATATTAAATCTAATCATTTAAATATTAATATTTTATTTTTAGCTTCAGATTTTAATATAGTCACCTAATTATGAAAAAAATTAGGATTTTGCTACGGTGACATGACATGGATTTTTCGGTCGACCGCAAATTGACTAATTCATGTATGTGAGGTTCCGAAACGCGGTCGACCTTTTACATAATATGGTCGACCTCTTTGGTGGTCTTACATAATATGGTCGACCTCTTTTTATGTGTGAACAATTATGATTTCTGTTTTATTGTATTTCTTGTTAGTTTGTTTAGTTGTTATGCTATGAATTGATGAGTCCTTGTTATCATTATTTATGATGGTTTGAAACATAATTTATACGAGCAAAAGAACCACACAAATCGACATACATAAGCAAAAAAGACACGGGCATAGGTTGACTTTCTTGCATTCGGTCGACCTCGTACCGGATTAGGTCGACCTCGAAACCAACACTTGATCTTCATTTTACCTCAAATGATTGGACACTTTGATAGAACACTTATCTTCTATCTGGTCGACCTCTTTCCTTATATGGTCGACCATTTTGTTAATGACTGCCATCAAGTGGTCGACCTATATACCTTTTTCGGTCGACCATGTTGTTTCTGATCGACCAAAAATAACAACTTAAACTAAGTGCGGTCGATCAGGTGGTCGTTGAGGTCGACCGCAATGCTTTCTCGTGCTGCCCAAATTAGTCAATTCGGTCGACGACCTTCAGGATTAGGTCGACCGAAAAGTCCATGTCACGGTGACATGCATGTCATAGTAGGCATACCCAAAAAATTATTGATCATATTTCTCAATTATAACAATAGTAATAACCAAATACAAATTTAAGAGAACGATAAGTTTATGTTGGTAAGTTAGTTATTTATCTCAAATTATTGCAGCAAAAAAAATTAGTATTTTCTCCACCGAGTTTTATGCTTGGTCTTCAAATAATATTAATTATTAAATAACATTTTGTATTGTCATAAACAAAAAGAACTTTCTTTTCAAGTAATGCATATAGTTATGTTTTTATTATTATTTTTTATTACAATTATATGGAAAAAATATTTTGGTCCCCCGATCTTCAAATTTTGGCTCTGCCCCTGCGTGAAAGGATTTTATTATACCTAGGATTAGGATATCAGTTTCGGTTTTAGTTAGGATTTATGTTAATTTTAATGTTTGTTTGTTTGTGCTGGTTCATGCTCACGTGTGTGTTACTGCAGAGCTATGTAAGAAGCTCCTCCGAAGTTCGGAGCCATATGCGTGGAACTAGCTACATGAATAATAGGAGATTAATAAATAAGGAGGATTTATGTTCCATTATTTTTTATCCCATATATTTTTTTTTTACATTTTGCCCCTTTGCTGTTTCCATGATTTTCTTGCTTCCATTTTCTTTTTTATTTAATTTTTTTTAATTAAATATAATCATTTAAATACAGCTACTTTCGAAGTAACAGAAAGAAAAGCAACGACTGGAGTGGGAGAGCCAGAGTCGAAAAGAGGATCGTGAAATAGCGATTGCTTGTTGAACCCTGTGAATTGCGGGAAAGTAGGATACTCCAAATTAATATTTTATTTTTAGCTTCAGATTTTAATATAGCCACCTAATTATGAAAAATATTATTTATCATATTTCTCAGTTATAACAATAGTAATAACCAAATACAAATTTAAGAGAACGATAAGTTTATGTTGGTAAGTTAGTTATTTATCTCAAAATATTGCAGCAAACCAATTTAGTATTTTCTCCACCGAGTTTTATGCTTGGTCTTCTAATAATATTAATTATTAAATAGCACTTTGTATTTTCATAAACAAAAAGAACTTTCTTTTCAAGTAATGCATATAGTTATGTTTTGCTTATTATTTTTTATTACAATTATATGGAAAAAATATTTTTGTCCCTGATCTTCAAATTTTGGCTCTGCCCCTGCGTGAAAGGATTTTATTATACCTAGGATTAGGATATCAGTTTCGGTTTTAGTTACTATTTCTGTTAATTTTAATGTTTGTTTGTTTGTTTGTGCTGGTTCATGCTCAGGTGTGTTACTGCAGAGCTATGTAAGAAGCTCCTCCGACGTTCGGAGCCATATGCGTGGAACTAGCTACATGAATAATAGGAGATTAATAAATAAGGAGGATTTATGTTCCATTATTTTGATATATATATATATATATATATATATATATATATATATATATATATATTTACATTTTGGTCTGGTGGGAGATCATAGATATGAACTATCCAATATGTATTCATTCCACCATATCACCGTACGTTATGATCCAGCTATCCTTTGTGTGTGTTTGTTTAATGTTTTTCGGCGAGAAAATTTGCGTTGAAATCGAATTGAGTGCACCTTGAATTCTTTGGACAACGATTAACTTAATACTGTTCACACCTTTTCAAACAATGTTCGAACGCGGGTGTTCGATATTTACACCACTCCCGAGACAGAAATCTACATTAAATTACCCTATTCCTATGGAGGTTCAACGAGAGCTCCAAATCTATGACTATGGCTAAAAGCTGCAAAGGAAAGATAAAGTGATAAAAACCTGACAAGTGGTGTTGAGTAGTGATTTTTGCGAATCCTTTCTCTATCAACTCCTCCTCCTATTTATAGACTTGAGGTGGTAACCGTCGTAGAAAAACCGTTTAGAGAGTAACTTCTGTCTGGAGAGTAACTTCCAAAAAGAGCTGCTTTCCTTCTTCCTCGGATGTGGCTGACGTGTCCTTTTACGTGGAATAATCGAAAGTTGCCCAGTTAATCGCCTTCTTTCTTTTTTGGGATTGATGTCTTGTTACTTGCCTCCCCTTTATCATGACCATTCCAGATCTCACGACGAGTGCTTTCTAAATCTCACGCCCGACGTGGTTTGTAACACCCCAATATTTGGGTCTAGATTCAACCGAACGATAGGCTTGAAGGTTATGTACGAAGTGTTGCAATCGTGGATTGGAATTATTATTATTATGATTATGTCATCATCATCAACCGTTCAACAAAAAGAGTGGGAAACAAAGGGGAATCAAAATTCCCAACCACTGTTACCAAAGGTAAGATAGCCTAATGGTAAAGCTATCAGGATAATGAAGGTTTGAGAGTTGCGAATCTCAGGTTCGAATCTTAGCGAGGCCCATTGATATTCCTGAAGGTACAAGGCTTACTTTTCCGACATTCATTCATTCTCTCTATCTCTACTGAACGACCAAATAATTAAACTCCCTCTCCCATTCAACTCCCAACCCCAATTAAGGGCTAAGATCTGGTGACTAAGGGGGGGTCCCTTAGTCACATGGCTAAGTGAATCTTAGCCCTTCCACCTCATTAAAATCCAATGGCTCAAATTAATCGAATTTAATGAAGGACAATATAGTAATTGCAAGATTATTTTATTTACCAATTAAAAAAAATACAGCACTGATACCGTCGCGGGCACCAGCTCCTTCTCCGGCCAGACGTGATAGTTTTTTTTCCCAGTCCCGCCGGCGGTCCTTTTCTCCGACGCCGACGATATGGCCGAAAATTCTTCGGCGGCGTCCGGCGTGGGCATGTTCCTAGGGGGGGAGGGGTGGCCATTAATTCCATTTTTTTCCCCTCCAAAGCTCCTGTCGCGAGAGAGAGAGAGAGTTTATGGGATGGGAATTATTTGGGGGGGGCGCGCAGAGAGAGAGAGAGATATTTCCGGCAACGGCGATCGGAGATGACAACCAATGATTTCCCGGCGACATTGCTGGATTTGTAATGTCGATCAATTTTGTAATCTTTATATCAATTCGGTTTGTATTGTTTATTATTCTTGTTTGTCATTTTTCTCTATTACATTTGTAATGTTTGTATGACTATTTTGTATGTATTGTAATTTGTAATTTTTGTTATTCAACTTTGTATACTTTGATGTTATGATTTGTATACTTTGTATTCATTTGTTTGTAATACAAGTTTACCAATCTGTATTGTAAGTAGTAATATTCTGTACGTGTAGTATGCTTTGTACTGTTTGTCGGTTTCTTTTGTAATGTTTGTTGGTTTCTTTTGTATTGTTTGTAATCTTTGTATGACTATTTTGTATATATTGTAATTTGTAATTTTTGTTGCTCTAGTTTGTATACTTTTATGTTATGATTTGTATACTTTGTATTCATTTGTTTGTAATACAAGTTTACCAATCTGTATTGTAAGTAGTGATATTCTGTACGTGTAGTATGCTTTGTACTATTTGTCGGTTTCTTTTGTAATGTTTATTATTTTGTAATGTTTGTTGGTTTCTTTTGTATTGTTTGTAAGTTTTGTTATTTTTGTCCACCTTGTTTGTCATTTTTGTCAACCATGTTTGTAATATTTTTTGCATCACAAATCAATACATATAAAGTATACAAATTATTAGTACTTATAATACAAACAGACGTGATTTGCATCACAAATCAATACATATAAAATAGGCCTAATACCAGAAAAGGGCCCATAGTTTAGGGTTTAGGTCACTTGTACCCCTATGTTTGTACCGCGTCACTTATGTCCCCAAGTTTAGTGC